TTAAATTCTATGAATTCATAAAATTCAAATAAAAAAAAGTTCATCGAAATTTATTGGGTGACTGTTAAGATACCTTCGATCAGTTTTAAAAAAGCGTGTGATCTATAATGCGGATCGTCCTTAGGATCCGGGTCGGAAATGATCGACGATTTCAGTGACCCGTAAAAAGGGGGGATCGCCCTGGCGGATTCTATTGAGTAAGTATAAAGTAATTGTTTCGTAGTATATTAGTAATTATCGACCAGAATTTCGTCTTTTCTGCGAACCCGACTTCGTTCTGGTTATATCGACCCACCCACCCTATCCCCGGGCAAACCAGTTTTTTGTGACCTGTTGGGACGTCAGTCGCACATTAAATCGGCCTGTCAGGACGACAGCCAATGTGATACAAACTCATGATCAAATGAAGAATGTAAATTGTGACCTGTTGGGACAGTTAAATATGACCTGTCGGGACGACAGCCAATGTGATACAAGTTCATGATTAAATAAGGAATGTAGAATTGCGATGACAGTCACACAGTCAAATATGGCCTGTCAGGACAACAGCAGAGAGAGAAAGGCAAGGAAGAACCAATCGATGCTCAGCAAAGTCTGCGTAGCGCTCGATAGCAGAAGAGGCAATACCCGTTTATGTTCTCATAGTAATATCCCGAAAATGAGATACAAACCAATTGAATATATAATTTTAATAGTTTGTGTCCAGCTCACCAGCCTGCGTAATGCCATTTGTCATTTTATCATAAAATAACTTTGAAAGTGCTATATCAGATTTCGTCATTTCCTCCAGAATCACCAAGGAAATGAATAAATCTAAGAATGCCACTATTTGTAGAAATGTGTCACGCGCATTATGCATGTTACATTATGCAGAAACTACACAGTTAACGAATAATAAAATTGTTATCGTCATAAGTTACTGGATAACTATTAATTATTATGAATTACAGTATATGTAAAATTTTGCTATCTATCTCAATAAATCTATAATAATTTCGAGATCAGACAATTAGAAAGTATTCAATAACTTGATATCAGGAATGCAAATTTTTATGATTTTTAATAAAATTTACGTACTCATTTGAATTTGAGATTGCAGCATAACGAATTGACATGAAATACAACAATACTATCTAACTTGAATTTTAAATAAAAATTTTTTTACATCGACTTCTTTAAAAATTGGATTTAACCCATTTCAAACTCTTTTTTTGTATTCATAATGTCCATAAACAAATTACTTTCAATTGGACACACTTGTGTATTTACTTCCCCATTTATGAAGCTTTTCTGTCATACCAAAATGTTAAGGTAGGGTTATTCTGGATTTAGGAATTCATACCGATTTTCATCAGGCTTTCATTAACGTAGGTTGTTAAATATTACAGTGGATCAAAATTTTAGGTCAAGAAATTATATCTTCATGAACTAATAAGTAGTAACGAAAAAGTAAAAGGACTACATAACTGATAATGAACTCGACTTCTTATTTATTTATCCTTTATTATTAAGAAATTGGTGAAGAGTGTATGCAGGTGTTGCTGTGTCAGACAACATTCAAATGAACGGTTCAAATGAGAGGATTCTTTCCTTATGAAAGTAGAAAAATAAGAGAATCTTTTACTTGGTCGTGAAGAACATAATTTTTAAGATATCTCAATAAATGAGAGAATCTTTACTATAAAATAAGCACTCTTAAAATACGTCCAGTACATACATTATTTATGAACATGTTGCCCTCTGGTATAAAAATACCTTATAAATTAAGTCTTACATTATAAAATTTAAAATCCCATTAAAGTCCTAATGCTATCTATCATAAAAACATAAATATTCACTATTGAAACAAATCATTGTGCTCTCACGATCAATAGTAAAGTAGCACAGAGCGTAATAAAAGTAGTACATACGTACGTACCTTTGATTTACCATAATTATATTTATTTTTGAGTCAGAAAATATGGAAATTTAAAATCTGCTGAAAGAGGCGATTTCGATGTACAAAATATCCTTGGAACGGTACTATTAAATATAAAAAGAACGCATTTGAATGGTATTTGAGATCTGCTGAAGGTATAATTCCGATGGACAATATAATCTTGGTTTCTGCTAAAAACATGGTATAGCCACTGCAAGAATGAAAAGAAAGCATTTGAATGATATTTGAAACCTGCTGGAGGTGATAATTCACAAGGACAATATATTCTTGGATTCTTCTACATACATGGAATAAAAAGTATTTGAATGGTATTTGAAGTCTACGAAGAAGGGTGATTCAGGACAAAATGACATAAGCAAAGTTAAAGATGAAAAGAAAGCATTTGAATGATATTTAAAACCTGTCGCATACTGTTACGATAAAGGTATAGATATTGATAAAAATAAAAAGAAAGCATTTGAATGATGTTTAAAATCTGCTGAAAGTGATGATCCCAGTGCATATTATAATTTGGATTACTTTGCGCTGGTAAGGATGGGAAAATGGATGAGCTAATATAGATGTAGGATCAGCCCATTTGAGCCAGAACACTAGTTGATTCATTGTTTACATTAATAAAACAAGTTTGAAAGAGATTTAATGATAATAAAAATAAAGTCAATTTTTCACAGACAATTTAAATTGATTATATATATATCCATTATTAAACTATTGTAATAAAATTTGCAAATTTTGTTTTTTTTGTAATTCTAAATTTAATTATGATCTATTGCAATTTTTGCGATTATCAAAACTATAATATTTTCGAAAAATAAAATTATTTTAGAACTTAAATTTAATGATGTTTACATCCCTAGTTAAGACAAGACATTTGTTAATCATTCAATTACAGAAGTTTTATGTGTTTAATATTATTAATGATTGACAAAAAAGTCCTCTCTAAGGATTCTTCAACCACCCGATATCTATAGGTTGTGATGGCTAAAACTAAATTTGGCCTATTTTTAATAAAAATTTTTGATAATTTTGGGACGGAATTTTAACTGTTTTTTTTTTCTTTTTTTTTTTTTTTTAGACTAACGATAATGTTTATTTAGAATAGTATAAAAGAGCATATGCGGATTTTAGTAGGTTTAATATATCTAAGTTAGGATTTCTAAATTTGAATTTAAGCAAATTTCACCTTAATGAAAATTTAAATTAAGAGGGTGAGATTTTTACACGAAGCTTCAATCAGTGCTTTTTTTGCCGATTCACTCAAGTTATCCGATCGTAAAATCTAAACTAGTTAACGTATTATTTCTGCATAAAGCTTCAGCCAGTGCTTTTCTTGCTGATTCACCCAACTTATTCCAACCTAAATTTAAATTAGTTAACGTAGTATTTTTGCATAAAGCTTCAGCCAGTGCTTTTCCTGCTGATTCACCCAACTTATTTTCATATAAATTTAAATTAGTTAACGTAGTATTTTTGCATAAAGCTTCAGCCAGTGCTTTTCCTGCTGATTCGCCCAACCAATTCTTCTCTAAATTTAAATTAGTTAACGTAGTATTTTTGCATAAAGCTTCAGACAGTGCTGTTCCTGCTTTACTACCTAATCGATTATTTTTTAAGTTTAAGCACATAAGAGTATTGTTTTTGCATAGAGCCATAGCTAAGTCTACCCCTGCTTCGTCGCCCAGACAATTGCCTTCTAAATTTAAATTGTCAGTGTGATATTATTGCATAGTGACTCGGCTATTCCTTGTCCTGCCCCATTGCATAAATTTTTTGAACTTAAATCTAAGTAATTCAATGCGGGATTGTATATAGAGCTTCAGCTAGGGTTTTTCCTGCCTCATAACTTAGTTTATCATGGTTCAAATTTAAATTGCTTAAGCTCGTAATCTTATCAATGGCTTTAGTTATTGATAAGGTATACGGCTGTGAACTTGATATTTCTTTTTAATTGGTTAATGTTAATTTGTATACAAAATGTTAAATAGTATAATTAATAATAATTAAATAATTAAATACTGTATAGACATTAAGTTTAATAGTAAAGTTATACCATTATTAAACACTTTTCTTCGTTTTATTTCATCTTATATTATGTAATGCCATGAGTAAGTCTAACAATATGTTTAGAGTGACAAATAATCAAATATTAAATTTAACTTACTATAATCTTCTTTGTCTAATAAAAATTCGATTGTGTGTTTTTTTGAAGTTGGCAAGTGTAATGTTGAATTTAGATTGTTAGTGTTTTTAAAAAACTCGGGACTGTATGGCATTTAATTAGAGAAATCACTAATTAATTAACTTTAAAATTTCAATAGGCAGATAATGAACTTATTTACTTACATAATATTAAATGAATAATTGCTGGAGTTTTGAAAAGAATTTACAGAGTCTAGTATAGAAAATCCGAGACTTGAAAGCATTAAATCTATAGTAGGACTTAATAATTTGCTATGGGTTTTATGATGAGGATGTACATGTTTAACAATGAATCTTCCGGAATTAAATAATTCTTGTCGTTTATTTTCAGCTTCTATAAAAATTTTATCTACCCTCCAATATCTAGAATTTATTTCACTAATTATTTCATTAATGGATGGCCTTTCTAAAGGTTCCGAGTGCCAACATTTTTGCATTAAAATAGCCCAACATTGCGGTGTATCTTCTGTAATATCTGGGCGTGATCCAGCACACAAATTAAACATAAGATGCGCATCATACGCTCGATCACAAAAGGGACGATTTCCAGATGTAAGTTCCCACATAATCATTCCTAAACTATAGATATCTGAACTAAATGATTATTGTTTTTTGCTGAATACCTCAGGTGCAAGATATGGCATAATCCCATATATTTTAGGTCCTGAATTTTCCTGATTTTCTTTTGCTGGTCGACTAAATCCTAAATCTGCAATAAAGGATTCAGAGGATTCAGAACCATATTTCACCGTTTTATCTATTAATATATTTCCACTGTGTATATCGCGGTGTATGATTTTATTTTCATGAATCCATTTAATGCCTTTAACAATATCCCGAAGAAGGCTTTGTTTCATTTTCCAAGTAATATTTGTAAAATGATTTGATAAATATTCGGTTAAACATCCATGAGACATATAAGTCATAACAAATATATAATTGTTCGTATCTGGTTCCTGTGACACTCCATAACATTGAACAAGTCGACGTATGGATGAATTAGGCTGACTTTCAACAATATTTTGTAACTAAAAAAAAACGATAAATTTATAATATTCTATTAATAAACAAATTAGGTTAAATGGTTAAATTCACTTATTTATATTCATACCTCTTTTAAGAATGCAGAATTAATGTTAGAGGAATCTTTAAGAACCTTTAGCACAACTGTCGCATTTTTAAACCGGTTAAAATTTATTTGAGTACAATCTAATGTTCCTTTTGTCCATGTAGCAGTATAGACTTCACTAAAACCACCTGTTCCAATTTGCTTTATGTCTACAAAGTCCTTGAATGGAATCCACTCTAATCTATAATTAAGTTGTTTATTATGCGTTGCCTTAATTAAATTGTCAATATCTTGATTTCCGCTATTAAAATTCAAGAATCGTCGTGTATAATAACAAGCAGTGCATAATTTATTGTTCTCATATTTAAGTCGTACTTTTTTATTACAGCCGGTGCATTTTGTTTGCTTGGAATTGCAATAAATGCATAGTTTGTTAGGTTTAAGTTTTCGATTTTTACCACAGTCTACGCATTTATCTCTATTGTGCTTCATGATTAAAATTTATTTTATGTGATCTAATTATTGTATCAGAAATATGACAATATTTAAAATTTAATATTTTACATGTAAAAGCTCTCTACAATTACAGCAAAATATTTTTATACAGTATATAATTAGAAAACGTTCATAACGTGAGAGTGTGATAATTAAAATAATAATGGATGCACATGTACTATAAGATCAGATAAAATCAAGCTAATTGAAAATTAATCGCAGTATAGTAAGACTAAATTTGCATTTTATTTGAAGATATTTATTTATTTTTAAAGAATAGCTTCGAGTCTTCTTCACGTCCGTATCGAATGTGTCATTTCCCAATAGAAGTTTCTAATCGTCGCATGTTTTTTGTTTGTATTACAATCTAAGTTCTAGAATTTCTATTATTGGTAATGTTACTCAATATCGAATGTGTCATTTTCCCAATAGAAGTTTCTAATCGTCGCATTACAATCTAAGCTTTAGAATTTCTATTATTGGGGGATCCTTAAAGCGGGGCAGATCAATCGAGTGACGGTCCGGGGTCATGCATGTCAATTGACTCATATGATGATTAGCCAATCAAACCTCAAATAACAAACCGTGCTAGTCAATAAAAGCATTGTATGACTTTTGAAAAAAATCCTTGACAAAAAATTCGTATAGGTATTACATCCGTACTTGGGACCATAAGGTCTTATAGTATTAGAGTTGCACTTAAAAATTGAGCATTCTGAAGTTGTGCGCCTTGGAAGGTTTTTTTTTTTTTTTGCACTTAAGAGTGGTTTTTTTTTTTGATACGTACAGTATATTGTCTTTTCTTTAGCGCTTTAAAGTTTCACACTAAACTTTACTATATTAAACTTTAACGCTACACTAAACTTTAACACTTTAACGCTACACTAAACTTTAACGCTTTACATCTGGTTTCTTATTTTAATGATTTTTGTCTTCAACGCGATTAGAAAATTTTACTTTTTTTTTTTGATATATCTGGCTTTAAAGTTTTACATTAGGCTTTAATACTTTACTTTTGGTTTTTTCATTTTAAATAATTTAGACATGATTAGAGATTTTTGCTTAATTTTTTTTTTTTGGATCAACAACGCGATATTTTTTTCTTTTTTTTTTTTAAAAGAAAAAGATTTTTTCAAATTTGAAAAGTTGTACGAATCTGTTGCTACACTTTCTACTATTAAGCAACCAAATTATAAGTTTCCCATATCAATATCAACATGTCAAACTTACGCGAATGTTATTTTAATATGGATAATTCATTTGAGCTCCCTAGTGAAGAGATTGACAAACAATAGGCCTTTGTTAACAATTTTTGGACAAGGTTTAATGGCTATAAGCAAAAAAATGGTGATGAATGGAAGATTTACATGTGTCGGCTCTCAAAACCAAAGAAATCTAGTGAAAGAAAGGAAGACGTCCCTCCAGAAAAGCTTCACATAACTTGAAAGCGACCTCCCATTGAATGTAAAGCCAAGATAAAAATTACTTGGTTTGCTATCACAAATATTGTTTGCATTGAACGAGTAGATGGCATCCCGAATCATTGCCATACCATTGATGAAGTCGATGCATGAAAGCGCTCAAAATTTATTAAGAAATTGGTGCGTGACGAGGCAGTTAAGGATTATCACCCTCTAGCAATTGCAAATGTTATTCAAAATGAAGCTAATAAAGTGTGTGAAAATTCAGGTGTAGAGTATCTTAAAACACAGGAGGTTACAAACATCAAGTTTAACCTTGTTGGTTCAATGAATTCACACTTTGTTGGTCAATCTAGTTTAAAAGCTGATATTACTAATACAGTGAAATTTTTAATTGAAAAAAATTATCAAGTAGAATAATTTTCTGTTCAAAAATCCTATGGTTTTTGTTTCATAAATCTGGAACAATTAGAAAGCCTAACATGTTATGGTTGGTTAACCCTTATCGACTTGATACACAATACTAATAAGCATGGTTAGAGAATGTTTACATTATATATTCGTGATGGCTGTGGTTGTTGGAATGTAGGTGCACATTTTTATGTTAGTAATGAGAATAGTGAAATTATAATATTAGCATTAAAAATTATCCAGAAGTTTGCTCCCTGCTAGAGCCCACAATACATACTCCTTGATCAAAGTAGTGTAGAAGCAAATGGTATTGAGACAACCTTTCCTGGGTTACAAGCTAGAGAACAAGAATACAGTACCCTGCTTTGCACAGTTCATGTTATATGTACATAGATGAAGAATATATATTATGATCCAACTCTTGAAAAAATGACACATGCAATGCACAAAAGAACTAAGGCTAGATGTGAAAATATTATCCAAGATGCTATAGCTAACTGCCCTGTTCTGATGATCACTAAATATATTACTAGAAATTACTTAAAAAATTCTAATAAATAGGCCCTTTGGGCCTGACAACTCTCACCCCTTCTTCTTTAAGTAACCTCAAAACCTCCTTGAATCTTATCACAGTGAACTTAAAACAAAAACCTCAACTACATATAGTTTAATAGGCATGTATTTTATCTTTTAAAGTTTTTTAAGGAGCAGTAGGCTTAACGTATAGACTAGAGAATGTTAAAAAAAATAAAAAAATAAAATAAAAAACAAAAAAAAAAAAACAAAAAAAAAAAAGAAAAAAATTAAGAATGCGAGATAGAAACAATAGATGCAAGGCATTTATTTATATATCTGCCATGGTGGAAAGTTTGGCTGTGATTAATAGAATTAGAGCTAAGCAGCAAGTGTATAAGATTAATTCTGATAGAACTTTCAAATTAACTATTGTCAAATGGAATAGAATTAAAATAACCTATGAATACAAGGCATCAATTTAATACTAAGATATTGCTTCCAAAATAAATTAGAATTAAAAAGATGAACATCAAGTATTCATTTATTATCAAACCAATTTGTTGAAATGAGAGACATAAGTAGAATATTCACGAATTTGGATTTGGAATGCACATAAGACATTTATATATTGTCTAAAATCAATTGGGGCAAATAATTTGACAGAGATTTTAAACTCCCATTTGTTGCAATTATAGTAAAAAAAAAAAATAAGTTATTAGTTAATTCTAATGAATATTATGGTCAATTTAATCTAAAATTTATTCTTTTAATCAGAATTCAGGAATTTAAAAGATTATTCATTTATATGTTGAACAATTCAGGATATAGGAGAACTTATCTACATATGTGATAATTGACCAATGATTCAATTATGATTAATATAATGTAACACAATCAGAATGATGTAAAAAAAATTTATCCTTTTTTAAAATCATTTAGAACTTAAAAATTTATACAACAAACTGACTTTTGCACTCTAACAAAAATATTTCCTTGCAAAATTTTACTATATAGTAACAATTCTTTTATAATAATCTTAAAGCTTGTCACCAATTTAATAAACAATAAAAAATGCATTATCACGTGTATGTGTTGAGGTCAGGATTCTTAAACTGCCATTCGTTATAATTATGAAATTGATGTAGAAATGAATTAGCAAGTAAGTTATAGCTAATTTCTTATGAATATTGTGGTTGATTTATTATCAAAATTATTCTCATCCAGAATTTAACATATTGTTATCTGAATTGGAAAGATGAACGTAAAGTATTCATTTATCTGTTAATATAGATAATGCTAGCAGAATATGAATAAGCACTGTCTGAAGCTTTATGCAAAAATACTACGTTAACTAATTTAAATTTAGAGAAGAATTGGTTGGGCGAATCAG